CTGTTCGATGATAAAAACTTGTTAATTTGATGTTCTTTGCGCCTATCAATTTGAAGTTTTTTGGATTGTGTAGATTTTTGAGTTTTCCTTAGTGAAATAAATTTTGAAGGTCATTCTCATCGATATATTCATCGCAGATGCTTGCAAATAAGATATTTGTACTGATTATGATTCAAAAATTTTCTACTCGAATAACCGGCTACCTCTAATTGGATGCGTTTCAGGAAATGAGAACAGAGGAACAATTAAATGCAAAGTCAGCATTACCGGAACCTATCCAAGAGATAATGCAAATGATTTTCGACATGTCTGCTCTCAATGAGGCTCTTCGGGAATTCGAGGTTCCACTTTTTTAGTTTTCCAGTTATTGATCCTTTCGACTACCAAAGAAATTCACTAACTCTGATTTAGTTATTTCCTGTGCACGTTGAAGAATTGATGGGGACGTCATTTGTGAAGATAGAAGGGATAAGAAGATCAGTAGCTTGTTGTTTTTTCCCCCGACTGTCAACGCAATAATGGAGATAATCATAATAATGGAGATAATTCAAATGGAACTGAAAACACGTGTAACTGTCATAAATGTGAAGATAATATATGAGGATTTAGATCGATTTGGATAAGATGCCGTTAGGACGATTGTCGAAACGTCAAATAGACGATGCGTACAAGGTGTTGAGCGAACTCCAGAATGTAACGTTTTCATGTGATACACCTACTGGTTATTTAATTGTTTGTCATTGTGATCCTTTTTGTCGTATTTTGATGNATCTGGAGATGCTACAAGTGACCATTATTTGGATGCTACTAATCGTTTTTACACTTACGTCCCACAAAACTTCGGTATGGCTGCGCCACCGATATTAAATACAAAAGAGAAAATAACGGTCAGTATTTATGGTTGTCGTTATTTTAATAACTAATGCTGTTTTCCGTATTGTCCTAATGACCGGGTGATTGCTATAATCAGATTCAGTTCACTGACTGGGAACCATTATTGTCATGTTTTTTGATATGAAGGTTCGGTGATCACTCTTTGGTTCAACAAAATATCTCTGGATTCTTTGCTTAATTATGCAACTTCATTATTCCTTCACATCTTATTTACCTCTTGTTTATTAGCATCAATTTTCAGGAGAAGAGCAAGTTGTTGGATGAGTTAGCAGAGATTGCAATAGCGTACAGTTTGATGAAGTCAGATTTCGTGGAGGATGGCGATGCAACGAAAAGTCAACTCGATTTATATTATGAAAAGTTACATGCAGAGATGGAGGTGAGTGATGCGTTTGAATTCGCATATTACGATGTCTATAACTGCTCATGTTTCGGGAATAAATTATTGATCAGTTTCAGTTTAGATTGTAATGTTGAAATTCTGATAAAACATTGTTTAGTTTCCTTATTTTTGACGACTTTGAGCTGTTCATCGGATTAGATTTACTCTTGAGGACTTTAGAAGTGAAAGAGTGGTATTTTGGTCAATGGTAGGAGTAGTATCAAAAATGATCATTGCTGGTGCCGTAATATTGTAAACTTATCAAGTACATACTGTTCTATTTCAAGGTTG